AGTGAGAGGCCAAATAGTTTTCTGGTTCTTCTTTTACTTGATGAGGAATTGTCCTAGTGGCACATCCTCCATTACATACAGACTGAATGGCTTCTGGGCATTGATTTCCTCGCTCCATGCCCGGTTTGCAATCTAGAGCATCCTGGAGAATATTAAAGGCTTTTTCTGTTCCTGTGGATTCCAGCCTTTGTGGATTGCTTGTGGGTTGCTGTTCCATTTTCATCCTTGGGCACGCTTACAACTGTGGGATGGTGGGAAACAAGCCTTTTGCAGGTAAATGTAGTAATATGGGCAGTTATGCTAAGCTTTTGCCCAGAAATAAAGCTGGAAACAGTAAGAAAAAAATGAATGGCCCACGTGCTACTATTGTTGATACTGACTATAGAATAAATACATTTTAAAATTATATAAAAAATTATTTTTAGAGCTCATAAGTTCTTTATTTCATGCTTTAAGTGAGGAATTTTTAAAGCATTATGGACAATATATATACAGTGTATATATAAATAATTCTACCCTTACTTCTCTCCTATATATAATCTGATGATGCTTTATTTAAATACATTTGTATAACAGTGATTACATGACCTCTACAGATGCCGTATACTAAATAAAATCAAAGAATGGGTGAAAAGTTTAAAAAAATCTCATCTTCAGTATACCAATCCAGTTCCAGGCTACTACATGACAGATTAGCAGTGTCATCTTCTAGACCAGGGGTCTCCAACCTTGGCAACTTTAAGGCTTGTGGACTTCAACTCCCAGAATTCCTCAGCCAATGAAGTTGGTTGAGGAATTCTGGGAGTTGAAGTCCACAAGTCTTAAAAGTCGCCAAGGTTGGAGACCCCTGTTCTAAACTGCCCTTCTTAGCAGCCCTAATGTAGCTTACATTATCATTTAAATAATTTAAAACATTAAAATCAACAGAAACTCACAGTAAAATCATTCAAACGCATGAAACCACCTTAAAAGCTCAATGAATTCAGTTGCCAGAAAAGCATGGATAGAATATGAAACAAGCATTACTGTATGTTTTACACGCTCTAGCAGCTTTTCTCAATCTTAATAAGTTTAAGGTGGATGGACTTCAACTCCCAGAATTCCCCAGTCAGTCCATCCATCTTAAACTTGTTGAAAAATACTGTGCTAGACAGACAGACATCGTCAGTCCTCCTCTCACCCAAACCCTCACATTGCAAACCGCCAATGCAAACCAAAGAGTTGCTGAAAAAGTTGGGGTAGAGTGGTCTTCCTTGCTCAGTACAAGCAGCTTGATGAAGGGTCGCTGCCCTAGACAGGGAGGGGAGTGAGGCGGCTGGGTCTCTCCTTTTCTCTCCTCCTCCTCTCGGAAGGCAATTCTTCCCGCTCACCTCTCCGCTCTACCGCCTCATTCAAATCTTCCTCGTCTGTTGCTCATTTTCAGACAAGACCCTGACAGCTCTTTGAAGCTTTTTTTTTTTCAATGAAAGGGCATTCGTTGGTGAACATAGAGATAGGAAAAAGATAAGAGTCACCAAATACAGAACTTGCCATTAAATTTCCGGTTTGCTATTCACGTCTTTTCCTTAACTTCATCAAGGGCGGAAGTAGAGACTGCATACTCTACTTTCAAGGTAGATTCAACGGATTTTTCCGTTGGTGATGGGTTAAAATTAAAACAGGTTCTCGTGTACTGTTATCGCGTTAATCTTAATATTCCTTATGGGAAATTAAGATCTTCATTGTTATGTTTGATTTTAATTTAATAATTTGCATTTTTAACCAGTGAAGGTGCTCTCTGAGATTGGTTGTTTGCTTGGAAAGATTTCATTGCCCAACAAGGTAACAGCATCAATGCCTATGTAACTAATAAGTACACTTATTGTTTTTATATTGGAAAGATTTGGATTGTACAGCATCACTGACTGGACTACAGCATGCTCATACAGGAACTCAAAAGTACAGGGAAAATAACCCTTAATGCTTTTAGTAACCACATATTAATTTTACCCAAAATTTATCAATAACTGTTGATCATTATTATAAAGTATAATTAACAATTTTATTGATAGCAAGTGGTTAATAATTGATTTAATATTAATGTTATTTGCTCAAAGATTAAAACATGGCACAAGAAAAAATAGGCTTTCATCAAAAGCTTCATATTACGAAGTGAGAAGAGAATACCAAGTAAAACTAACAGTATTAGAATGGCTGCATTGAATCCTACTGAGCAGCTAATGTACTTTGGGAGAAAAAACAAGAGTGGCCTTAGCTGAACCAGAACCAGATGTATGCACTGTACAGGTCCTGAAACTAACACAATGCAGTAAAGCATTGCGTATACTAATCTGAAGACAATTTAACAATGTAGACTTTTGCTTATGTAGGAGTCAGAGATGAGTCTGAGGGCAAGTTGGATATAGCTCTCCATTCATTTTTTGACTAGTTTTGACACCCCCTTCAGCCCAAATCCAGTTATCATTCTTCGTGAGCTCTCATTTGTGCATATTGTGCTTTTAAATGCAGACTACTGAAGAAAATTATCAAGTTATGGTGAGCAGACCTTTATCCCCCTGGACATTTTCTAAATTACCAGGTAACCAGATCAGAGGTGATAACGTTCATTTTGCCCTTTCATTTAAGTAAAGCAAACTTTGAATACACGCAAAAGCATGGTGGCATTATTTTCATATTTATATTCTTAATTTGCATGCACTTCTCATTAGGAAAGGACGAAAAGACTTTAAAATTAAATTCAAACTATTCTGTGGATAAGTCAAAGACTTTTCAATAAATTGTTCCTTCATCTTTTATTGGCCTTTCTAATATTTTGTCATTTATTATTTAACAAATATTGAGCAAGATGAGATAAGGTTTGTCATTCTCATAACAAAACAGAATTTTAACATTACAATTTTAACATATAATCTAACTTCCTTATATTTTTTGAACACGTTTAGATACAGGGCCACATTCAATTTCCAATTTAACTTTAAGATGCCTATGATACAGATTAGCGAGTTTAGAAATATGGAATCTGTAATTTCTATTGCCAATTTTTGCATACTTGGCCAGGCCAACTGGGTCTATGGGAATCTATAGCCCTGCTGGAGGGCAAGTTTCTCATCCTGCTGGAGGGCAAGTTTCTCATCCTGCTTTACATACTGAATACTACTGAAACAAATCATACACTTTGAAACCAACATCACTGAATAATATTAAGGACACACTCCAATTTTCTGTTTGGACTAATCTTCTGAAATAGTGTGTCTCGGAGATGCTGAACTTCAACTCTTTTGATGATGGGAGAGATAATGAGAACTTAAGACCAACACTAAGATATCACATTAAGGGAGATAAGTTTTTATAAACTCACTAAAGTCTGAATTTAAAACCAGCTCTTGTTCGCTCTATCTCTAAAAGTTGAGACTGGCATGAGTTGTGGACTATAGCAACTTGTTTTGTTCTTGCGAATTTATCAACATTTAGAACATAATATGTAACATAATATGAACAAAAGACTGAAATTCAATATAAGAGGAATAATTTTTCATTTAAAGAGAAAAAACTTACAAAGATCCCTTTAAGTAAAAGAAAAAAATCTTTATGAAGCTAATTTAATAGTTGTTAGACTGGGATGCAAAAAGTGATAATGGGGGAGTTTTGACCATCATGTTGTGGAGAAAATGTTTGCTTTACACAAGGAACTGAAATGTTTGGATAAATGAATTGCAATGTTTTTAATTGGCCTGCACTTGAACATTGGGCTTCTGGCCAAGAGATCTGCTATAAGCAGATTATAGGCTATGTAACTCTGAGTCGTTACATTAAAAAAAAAAGGTTTTGTAAATCATATTGAGCTTTATAGTGAATGAAGCATCTGATAAAAACATAGGTTGACCTTACTATGGTCTGAGGCATTGCCTTTAATTGCTACATCCCTGTAAGAGCTCCAAATCATCCACTTCTGATATTAGCAACTTCTAACAGTTTTCTTTATTGTACCCATATATTCTCTCCTTTCACATCTGGTTTCTGTTATCTAGCTGTTTCCTTTTCAGATCATCAGTTTATTTCAGTTCTGATTTGCCTATATTTCAGAACTCCAAAGGAAGGATGAAAAGTTATTTGTTCCCCATCATCCTGACCAGAATGTAAGTTTCATTCACTACAGCATAACACCAAGAATATCCAATTGAGTAAAAGGGACTGGATCATTCTGTGTTCTTGATCCACCTAGTTTCCTGAGTCTCCACAACGTACCCAGCTATAAACTAATTCACCAGGGTAGGTTCACATAGCATTCTAGGCTACAATGTGGGTAGAGAGATGATTAAACACAACTAATCACCCAAGAGTTTTGAGAAATGTTTTATCCCAAGTCCTTGTTGATCCAAGATTCAAGGTCTGGGATAAAACATTTCTCAAAACTCTTTTGCAAGTATTTAATGTGTTTATAAATGGCTATATTCAAAAGATATGATCAAGGGGTGCAAATGGGTATAGAAAATATTGTCCTAATATTTCTTGAAAAAAATACATTTATTGTAGGTAACCTAGCCATGTATGCATTTTCATCCATAACTACCAAATAAATTAATAGCTTATACTTGCTTCTTTTATTGACCCCTCAGAACTAAGTTCCAAAAGAGGCAGCCAGTTTGTCAAAGCAGACAACCAATATGTACCATAAGAAAGGAACTAGAATCTGTCCCATCTATTTCAAGATCTGAGCATTAAATTATTTGTAAATGGATGCTAAAAGGTGTTCCTTATTCCCATAATCATTGATCATAACCACTGAAGCAATCAAATTTCCAATCATTTATGTAAAACTTTCTAAAATACTAGCCTGTCCTACAGCAAATATCCTTCACGGTCACAAGATATTTACAATGATTGTCAATGTAAATGTAGAGGAGCATTTAATGATAGTTCAGTAAAAATATAGGTCTCTGAAAATATTTTACTCTTCTGTTTCTGTGCTCTAATTAAAATGATACTATGCAAAGACTACACTGGTTTCTTCTCAAATACATTTGAGGACTGTTTTTTATTAAAGAATCAAAGGAAACCAAAAAAGCTTCAGATATCAAGCTGTGTTAAATATGACTGTCACATAATTAACACTTCAGCATTAACAAACAGAAACTACAATATTTGAGAGTCTGAGTGGACAACTCTCAATGATGGTAAGGATAGCAAGAACAGTTCATCCAGCCATATATTCCAGCTTGCCAGTTGCCTCAAACCACTTCTGTAGACAGGCATTTTAATCCAACTGAAATGAAAAAAAGATGCTGTCAATATAACATGTGATAAGCTTACCCACATACCTTACTCAGAATGTATAGCTTCTCCTCTTTAATATCACAGCTATTTTGTATAAACAAACATTTTCAGTTGTTCATTCCTCTTTTGACAGCTCCATTCCTTTTTAAGCTACAATGGCTGCCATTGCACTCTCATCTGTGAAAGCCTGTCAATATGTCAGTTTTTCCCCATCTCAGCACACATATGCAGACATCATTTTCTAGAATTCCATAGGCACCACTGGCATTCTTGAGAGTATTGGGAGTTGAAGTCCTGATCTAAGGAGCAGTTCCAGTTTATAGGTGCCAACCTTTTTCAGTCGCTGTTAAAATGCAAGCCCCAGCAGCAAAAGTAATTTAATTCACCCCTTTGCAGACCAATATCAAGAACGGTTTTTCATGATGGGTGGGGGAAATCCTTTTAAGTTTATTTATTAAGACCAGTGGTTTAATAAACACAGGAATCATGGCTTCAAATATGAACAAACACTAAAAAAAAGTGATACTTTCCATTCTTTACTATTTAAGACACATGAAGTGGTCCTTTCCTCCCTCACAGACCATTTCCCTATTTATTTATTTACTACTACTGAACCTCCAAAATACACTATTTAATCATATATATATTCTCTTCTAAAACTATACACATTCAACCTCTCCGGGATTGGGCAGCCTATAAATAAAATTAAACTTGAAACTTGAAAAAACACACCCAGAATCCACTTTCTTCCACACATTTAACTATAACTTCTGTACATTAGAACATCACACACACCATCACAGAGGTCGGTTGGTAATTTTTTTACTACCAGTTTGGGTGCGCTCCCGCATGCGTGCGACGTTTCTGCGCATGCACAGAAGCGTCCTGGCAGGTAGACAGAGCCTTCCGCCTCCGCTATTACCAGTTCACCTGATCCAGGCCAAACCGACAGCAACCCACCTCTGCACCATCAGATTTACTTCTCTAGCCTGCACATGACTGTTAAAGGCAGGAGATGTTGTGGGCATTGCCAGGGAACTCTCTGCAATGAAGGGGGCATCAACCAGCAGTGGGCAACCCAAACCGCATGGCATCCCATGGCTGGGAACTACAGAGCTGCCCTCCGCCTTCCTTTAATGATTACTTGCCACAGTTGTTAACTGAATCACTGCAGTTGGTAATTAAGTAACCTGGTTGTTAAGTGAATCTGACTTCCCCATAAAGTCGTAAAAGGGAATCACATGACACTGAGACACAACAATGGTTATAAATATGAGGCCACTGCCAAGTATCTGAATTTTGATCACATGATCCTGGAGATGCTGCAAAGGTTGTTAACTGTGAAAAATGGTCATGTCACATTTTTCTATACCTTTGTAACTTTGAATGGTCAGTAAACTAACTGTTGTAAGTCGAGGACCACCTGTACTTTTTCCATTATATTTTTAACAGCGCTTCATGGGCATTGAGGGGCAACCCTTCCAGAAGTGCATGAACATAAAATCCCAGAGCTGGAAGGGACCTCGGAATTGATCTAATCCAGCCCCTATTCAAAGCAAGAGACCTTATATACCACGTCAGGTCAAGCGGTTTGTGCAATCTATTTTTGGAAACCTCCAGTGATGGGAGTCCCCATAACTTGGGGGGGGGGGAAGCTGCTCCGTTGATTGATCGTTGCGTGGCAGCCCCCCCTCACCTTAATGAAGCCGATGTCCTTGGCGTACTGGCGGAAGCACTGGCGACACATGTTGAGGCCGTACTTGCGGATGAGTCCGTGCCGGTTGGAGCAGACGCGGCTGCGGGAGAAAGAAAAGAGGGCGGGTGAGGCGGTCCCAGGCGCTTCCCGGCTTCC